GTCAGTAATGGATGGGGGATAAGGTTCGGTGCTTTAAAAAATTTCAAGAAAAAAATCAAAAGTATCAGGCATTCCTCATAATTTCACCTCACATACTAATTTGAAATGAAAATAAGTTAGTGAAAAAGCTACTAGAGTTAAAAATCTAAAATATTACTTTGACTTTTATAGTTATGATTTATTTTAATAATAGATTTAAGCTCCTTATGATTTTTACTTTTTCAATGATAATACATTTTTAGTCAAAATTATACTTTTTTTACTTATCAAAAAAATCACACTGATGAACTGCAATTCTTATGTTGCAATTTAATGTAAATATACACTGAAGAGTAGATAAAAAGACTGACTTTTGATTAGTATTTAAATGTACACACTACCAAAATGTTCAGGTAATGTGTCCCCCCCCACCCTACTTTCTTCAAAAACATTAAATTCTTAGAATGACAAAGGAAATACAAATCACTTTATTAATGTCAAATCAGTTTTTATTCAAATTTTAAAAAGCCTAAATAATAGCCCGACAAATTGGTAATGTAATTAAAAGGTTAAGATTCTGAATGCCGGGCCAGAGCAATAGCACAGCAAGTACAGTACTTGCCTTGCACACAGCCAACCAGGCTTGGATTCTCAGCATTCCATTTGGTCCCCTGAGTACCTCCAGGAGTGATTCCTGAGTATAGTCAGGAGTATCCTGAGCATCACCAGGTGTGGCCCCAAAACAATACCACCAGTTTTTGAATGACCAAAATTGGATACTAAGAAATATATAATCTGAATTTCTTTTAACTTTACAATTTAAGAAGTAAGTTTTCATTTGTGAAATATAAAATAACATGAGACTGACACCCAAGGACAGTAGACACAAGGACCAGGAATATTGCTCCATAGTTGGAAGACTGCCTCAGGAGCTGGGGGAGAAGGCAGCTGGAATAGAGAAGGGATCACTAAGTCAATGATGGTTGGAGGGATCTTCGGGATGGGAGATGTGTGATGAAAGTAGATAAAGGACCAAATGTGATAACCTCTCAGTATCTATATTGCAAACCAGAATACCCAAAATTAGAGAGAGAGTATGGGGGAAATTGTCTGCCATAGAGGCAGGGGGAGAGTTGAGTTGGGGGAAATAGTGGGAATATTGGTGGTGGAAAATGTGCACTGGTGGAGGGATGGGTGTTTGATCACTGTATGACTGAAACAAACATGAAAGCTTATAACTATCTCATGGTGAATTAATTTAAAAAAAGTGAATTTCACATTTCCATTATATTTAAAATAGCCAAAAATTCTCCTTAAATTTAACAAAAGTTTTTTCTTGAATATAATAATATATAAAAACTGATGATAAAATGGTTTCAGAATTGTAAAAAGAATAAAAATAATTTAAAATTTTTCACACTGAGGTGCATATTTTAAAAAAATAGTAATCCTATAATTTGATAATAAACTATTAAAAGAATCAATTTGTAAGCATACTTAGAAACATTTGGCAACTATCTCTGAGTAGAAAATAAGTTAGTATTATTTAATATTATTGTCTGACAAAAGTTCAAAAAATGTTACATTTGAATTATTTTAAAAGCCAAATTTCGTTGTCACAATCTCCACAGGGTAAATCTATGGCATCTTTATGCATAAGTTCCTAAGGAAAAAACATATATAGTGCATGGAGTTCATGTACAAAGGTACAAGGTATATTTGGGGAAATATAAATATGAATGCAAGAACTGTATATAGTAAAGAAGTACACAGGATTTGGGATGACTGTGTGTGTGTGCGTGTGAAAGGTGTGTAATAAAACAATATTTGTCTAATAGGAAACAGGAAACATTTTTTGTTTTCCTCAGGGTTGTGCTGAATATGTGGGGGAATTTTGCCCTTAAATACTCATACTACCACCATGCTTATGGCCGCTCTCCACAGTCTTGGACGAGCTTCACCCATGACTGAATCTGCAGAAAAACCCAGGTATGTGGGACTTGTGACTGAAAAATCCAGGTTCAACAGAGCTAGGAATAGATGACCTCCCCATACTACCATGTCCCTTTTTCTGGAAGCTTAGCAGTCATGCCCACAAACCACCTCTGGTGCCATATAATCTCATTAACGACCATGATCCAGAGTTTCAACAATAAATCTCTTAGAAGAGAGCACAGAATGATACATTGTAGAGTTGCCTCCAGAACCTGTGCCAGGCTATTTCATTTGGGGCAACCCAGAGAGGGGCTGGTGAATTCCCCTCCCCACCCCAATGGAGCCAGCCCCACAGCCAAAAACCTCCAGAATCCAATCACTGCCATGCTCACAGCCACTCTCCCCAGGCATAGACAAGCCTCACCCACTAGTAAATCTATTCCTGGACTGTACAGCTGCATTTGTGACTGAATTACATCTGATACTCTGCACCACTGATATACCAAGAGTAGCACACCATGTTTGATGGGGTTTAAAGTAGAAGGCAACCAATCTACCAATCTTAGGGGCAAAAAATATATATATACATAAAATATGAAAAAAATATATATCTGGGCTAGAATGATAGCACAGCGGGTAGGGCATTTGCCTTACAAGTGGCCAACATGGCCGACCCGAGTTCAATTCCTCCGCCCCTCTTGGAGAGACCGGCAAGCTACCGAGAGTATCTCACCTGCACGGTAAAGCCTGGCAAGCTCCCCGTGGTGTATTCGATATGCCAAACACAGTAACAATTGTCACAATGGAGATGTTACTGGGCCTGCTCGAGCAAATCGATGAACAACGGGAGGACAGTGACAGTGATATATATATATATATATATATATATATATATATGTCCACACAAGGCTCAACCTTTAACAACATGTTACTAATCTCCTATAGAAGGGCTGCTTAATAGTTCCTAAGTGAAATACATCAATCTTCACACACTTTCCTCAAAGAAAACTTTATGGATCATTTTTTAGATGATTATTTATAACAAGTAGTACAAAATAAATTACTTCAGTTCTGCTTTGGGGGCATGGTTTGAGGTTCGGGATGAAAACATTCAAAATATGGTGGTGGAAAGGTGTAATGGTGGTGGGGTTAGTGTTTAAATATTAAATGCAATCAATTATTGTGAGCAACTTTATAAAAAATAAAATAAAAGTACTTATACTAGTAGGAAGCATAGTAAATAGACATAAACTTTACAATAGAGTTGCATAAAACAAATCAAAGATTTGAAAAAAACAAAAATTGGTGGTAGCTAAACATAATATATTGCACAAAAATATATCTCAAAGAATACCAAAAGCAGCAATATCACTAGACCAGGACAGAATAGAATCCAAAAGAGGAAAGTCACTAGAACCCTGGCTCAAGCATTGTCACCTTTGTTTCTAGACCTCTGCTTTAGTCTTTTTTTATAGTCATCTATCTTTGACTCTCTGCATTTGGCAAAGGATGGGCATTCTTATTCTAATGATCTGAATTTACATATTATAGTGTAGACCTAAACCTATTCTTTCTTAAACTGAGGCACTTCCTACTGGTAATTCCAGTTTGCAATCAAATTAATAAAAGGCTACCTTGGCTACTGAAAATTTTGCTGTCAGGAAAATAGTGACTAGAATTGAAGACTGAAGATTTTAGAATACAGTATTACAAATGTAGCCTCCTTCTGTGGATTGGGAGTTCTAAGAGAAAAGGGACCACCAAAAGCTGGGCAAAAAATAGTCTTTATTTATATTCAAATGCATAAACCACGGGAATTTTAAGGAAAACAGGAACTAAAAATATGGTATAACATCACTGTATCACTGTCTTTCCGTTGTTCATTGATTTTCTTGAGCAGGCCCAGTAACGTCTCCATTGTGAGACTTTGTTGTTACTGTGTTTGGCATATTGAATACATCACGGGTAGCTCTGCCGTGCGGGTGAGATACTCTCTCTCGATACTCTCGGTAGTTTGCCGGGCTCTCCGAGAGGAGCGGATAGTAAAATTTAGAAAAGTATTTTATTCATTTACAAAACATTTTCACATTTGCTTTTCTTCACTAGCTTATTAACACAACCATTTTAAGTCAGTGTTCCTCCACTTCATTCAACAATGATACCTACAGAGGACATACCATGAACCACTTTCAAGAGTTATTTTGGAGAGCCCAGCAAGCTGCCGAGAGTATCCTGCCCACATGGCAGAGCCTGGCAAGCTCCCCGTGGTGTATTCAATATGCGAAACACAGTAACAACAAGTCTCACAATGGAGATGTTACTGGTGCCAGCTCGAGCAAATCGATGAACAATGGGAGGACAGTGCTACACTGCTACAGACTAAAACATGCCAAAATACTGAATGTATGGGGTAAGACAGGGAATAATATAACTCCTAGGTTATAGGCAGGAGAAAACTGCTTGATAGATGAACAGGTACCAGTTAGAGAAATTAAGACAGGGAGCGATATAAGCTCAGCAGATGTTAGTTGGAAAGAGTAAAAAAGAATAAACCTAGATGTGGATATGAAACATAAAAAATAGAGATAATCACTAGAGTTCTTGATGTATAAATTTGAGGGCTTGAGAGATCTGAATTTAAGTGGTCGATGTCCACAGTCTTTGGGGTCAGCTTTGTGAAAGTATGTAGTGCTGGGGATTCCAATTGGGGTCAGCTTTGTGAAAGCAAGTTCATTACTTTCTTTATTTTTTCCACTTTTGGGGTCACACCCAGCGATGCTCTGGGGTTACTCCTGGCTCTGCACTCAGGAACTACTCTTGGTGGTGCTTGGAGGACCATTTGGGATGCTGGGGATCAAACCCAGGTTGGCTACGAGCAAGGCAAATGCCCTACCTGCTGCACTATCACTCCGGCCCAGCAAGTTCCTTACTTAATGGGTGAATCTTTCCAGCCACCTCACTACATATTATTATTGCAACTATTATGAAAAATAAACATTTAATTCCAGAGTACCCACTATTTCTTTGTAGAACATTCCTAGGCATCTTTGCCCCAATGAAAAAATAGGAATAAATATAGTATTTACCTTTATTAGATCCCATGATGTTAGGTCTATCTGAACGGTAAGAACGAGATACCTCTGTTTCTGGTTTCTTTTGTATAATTATTTGATTTTCAAATCTCTTGGGTCCTAAATATAAGACTGTAAATTTCTTCTGAATGTCAAGTCCAACTGAAAAAAATAAGAATAGATATAAGGCATAATATAACCATATAAATCCATATATCACACCAATTATTTGTTTTTATATTGTGTATACTGTTTTTTGTTTTGTTTTTTGTCACACCTGGTGATGCCCATAGTTAATTCCTGGCTCAGGAATCACTTTTGGCAGGTTGAGGAGACCATATGAGGTGCCAGGAATCGAATCCCAATTAGCTGCATGCAAAGCAAACACCCCACCCACTATACTATTTCTCCACCACTTATACTTTTAAAATTGTGAACTTACAGGGCTAACAGTCCAGGAAATTATAATGTGAAATAAAATTTAAATATAACAAATGAACTTTTATACAACTATGATCATAAAAATAAAAATCAAATCCTATAATAATTAAGATTCACTATCCTGCACAGGGGTTACTCCTGGCTCTGCACTCAGGAATCACTCCTGGCGGTGCTCAGGGGACCATATGGGATGCTGGGGATGAAACCCGGGTCGGTTCCACACAAGATAAACACCCTACCCGTTATGCTATTGCTCCAGCCCCTAAATAACTTAATTTTATCATTTATCTTGTTTTTCTGTTTCAGTATCAAAGGAATACTTAACATTTTTTAAAATAATGTAGTAGTAAAGGTAAAGGTAAAGGCCCTCCCGTTGATCGTCGATTTGCTCGAGCGGGCCCAGTAACGTCTCCATTGGAGACTTTGTTGTTACTGTGTCTGGCATATCGAATACTCTCGGTAGCTTGCCGGGCTCTCCGAGAGGGGCGGAGGAATCGAACTCGGGTCGGCCATGTTGGCCGCTTGTAAGGCGAACGCCCTACCCGCTGTGCTAGTAGTACTTCTATTTATTCATCTATTGATTAAGCTGATTGAACTGGGCATCAACTCCATATTACTTTTTTCATTCTATTCTGAATGTTTATTATTTTATTATTATTTCCACCCCCCCCCCCCTTTTGGATTCACCGTGAGATACAGTTACAAAGCTTTCATGTTTGAGCTTTGGTCATACAATCATCAAACACTCATCCCCTCACCAGTGCACATTTTCCACCACCAAAATCTCCAGTATTCCCCACCCCACCCCCATTCCAATTCTTCCCCTGCCTGTGTGGCAGACAATTTCCCCTATTCTCTCTCTCTATTTTGGTTACATTCGATATTTCGACACCAGTCTCACCACCAATCAAACCTGCTGAAAAGTCAATGATAGAGTATTTTTTTTGAGGAATACTTAACATTTTTTAAACTTAATTTCATTTACATAAGGTTGTTCACAAAAATTTATGACATTCAATATTCTAACAACAACCCCACCACCATTACACCTTCCCACCACCATTATTTCGAATTTTTCCAACCACTATCCAAGCCTGCCCCAATAGCAGGCCCTAAATAATTTTGTATTGCTTGTTATGAACAATTCTCTAAAAATAATCAAAAGATGTTTCCTTAGAGGAAAATGTATGAAGATAATGATCTCACCCTGGAGCCATTGAGCCCTTGTATAAGATTACTAACAAGTCATTAGAGGTTGATCCTTGTGTGCTAATATTTTTTAATTGAGATTGGTTGCCTTCTACCTTACATCCTGTCAAATATGTGTTACTTCTGGTACATAGATGATAGAGAGTATGAGAGTGCATGATGTGCACTCCAGGAATTCTAAAATTTTAAATAAGGTAACACAGTTGAAATTGATTTTTTAACTGGATGATGACTTTCAGGTCTGAGAGATCTCTGTAGCTTGCTGACCTCTTCCAACATGTATTTGTGAGTCTCTGAATCATGGTCAGTTGATGAGCTTATATGGCACCAAAAACGGTTCGTGGGCATTACTGCCAAACTCTTGGAAGACAGGGCAGTGAGGGGAGGTTGCCCACGGAATACTCTTTAAATGCCATTATATTCTTTACATTCATGTTTCCTTTAATTCAATAAACTTACCATATTCAGAACTAATTAGATTTATGCTAAGATCTTCTGATATAAGAGCTTTCTGCACATCAATTTTTTTAGTCCAATTACCACTTTTCAGCAAAACAGAATCCCTAAAAAATAGTAATACATAATTTAAATAGTGACCTAAACACTAAATGAAATAACACATTACTTTTTAAGAGTTAACTGATCCAAAGTACTCTTTGGTAGTAAACTGAGTTGCTTAAAACGACTTTCTCCTAACTTTGAGAAGGAACAAAGAATGTCAATAAAACTACAACTACAATTTTCCTAACAGTAGGTCACAACTGATTTCATGTCACATTTTAGGTTTACCTGAAGAATTGCTAGCAATAATCTATGAGCCTGCTCCTAAATCACTAACACTTTAAACTGGTTACACACAAATAACATGTAGGGGCTGGAGTGATAATACAGTGGGTAGGGTGTTTGCCTTGCATGCAGCTGACCATTCAGCCGCAGGGTTCAATTATTAGCATCCCATATGGTCCCCTGAGCACCACCAGAAGTAATTCCTGGGTACAAAGCCAGGAGTATCCCCTGTGCATCGCTGGGTGTGACCCGAAAGGAGAAAAAAACAACAATAAATAACATGTATTTGTTACTTCAATTGAACTAAATTGAAATAGGTCATAACTAAAAATTCATATACCCTCAACCAATTTTGTGACTGAATTCAAGTCTTATGTAGTCAAGCCATCATTAGAGTTAATTGCCACAGATGATAAATGTTTAAACAATCATATACTCTATTAAGTGTCTCATAGCTTGTTGCAGAAGAGTTACCAGAGAAAGGTATATCCTATTAGTAATGGTAGTTCCTTCAGGAATTTTGCATGGTAGCAATTAGGGGATTCCCATTTCAGAGTCACTGCCATTCTTAGACTTTCATGTGTAGTAATACAGTTAACATCACTAGTTCAAGAGTGTGAAATATTTTATTACTAAATTTTCCAGGATTCAGATCTAGTCTTTGCTATGAACTAGTTTTATATACTTGGACAAACTGATTAAACTCTCCTTATCTTAATATCTTCCTTTATAAAATGTAGATAATATCTCTCATACAAAGGTTAATTCAGAACCTCAAATATAATAATTGATTAAAATATATGCTGTAATTATAACTGATATCCTTAGAATTTGCTTATAACATCCTTGGAGAAATAATATTAGAGAATAGGCTGAAGCAAAAAATAACAGAATGGCATGCTGGAGAACAGGGTTTAAAGAAAGGTACCTCCATAAAGTACCTGTACAAAAAAACCCCTGCGAAACACTACTTCAAGAAATAAAAGAGGACATGAGGAAATTTAAACACATTCCCTGCTCTTGGATTGGGAGAATTAACATTGTCAAAATGGCAAAACTCCCCAAAGCATTATACAGATTCAATGTGATCCCTATAAGGATACCCATGACATTCTTCAAAGAAATTGATCAAACACTCCTGAAACTCATATGGAACAAGCCCCCACAAATAGCTAAAGCAATTCTTGGGGAAAAAAGATGGGAGGCATCGCCTTCCTCAAACTCAAACTGTACTACAAAGCGGTAATAATTAAAACAGCGTTGTATTGGAACAAAGTCAGATCTGCAGACCAACGGAATAGGTTTAAATATCCTTATACACACCCTCAAATGTGGATGTGAGGGCGATGTGGCTGCGACATCTATCACCCCATTGATCGCCAGGGTTGATTCGGCTGATCTGGCTGGCTAAGCGGATGTCTCCTTCCTCCCTCACCACTCCATGTGCGTCCCTCCTGAAGCTGTGAGCTAGGTCGAAGAGGACAGCCTTCCCCGAATAGAGACGGACCAGTCTTTGGTCGAGGGTATACGAGTAGCTGTGCTCCCCTGCTAGAACCTCCAAACAAGCTCTCAAATGTATGATCATCTATTCTTTGAGAAGGGAGCAAGAAATATAAAGCAGAGCATGGAAAGCCTCTTTAACAAATGGTGTTGGCAAAACTGGACAGCTACATGCAAAAAAAAATGGGCTCAGAACTCTACCTAATACCATGCACAAAGATCCGATTAAACTGGGTTAAAAGACCTCAGCATCAGACCAGAATCCATAAGGTACATTGAAGAAAAGGTCGGCAACCTGCAGAACATTGAAGCTAAAGGTATCTTCAAAGATGAAATGCCAACTGACCGAGCAAGCAAGTGGAAACAGAGATAAACAAATGGGACTATTTAAACTAAGAAGCTTCTGTACCCCAAAGAAGTAAGTAAGTAAGTAAAGGCCCTCCCGTTGATCATTGATTTGCTCGAGCGGGCCCAGTAACGTCTCCATTAGAGACTTTTGTTGTTGTTACTGTGTCTGGCATATCCAATACGTCACGGGGAGCTTGCCAGGCTCTGGCGTGCAGGCACGGCCATACCACCCTGAACGTGCCCGATCTCGTCTGATCTCGGAAGCTAAGCAGGGTGGGCCTGGTTAGTGCTTGGATGGGAGACCTCAAAAGAAACTGACTGGAAAATAGAGTCTACAGAATGGGAAAGGATATTCACCCAATACCCTTCTTGATAAGGGGTTGATATCAAGGATATACAAGGCATTGGTTGAACACAAGAAGAAGAAAAGATCCAATCCCATCAGGAAATGGGGTGATGAAACGAACAGAAACTTTCTCAAAAAAGAAATATGAATGGCCAAAACGCACATAAAAAATGCTCTTCATCACTAATAATCAGGGAGATGCAACAATGAGATATCATCTGACATGAGAGACTGGCCCACATCCAAAAGAACAAAAGCACCCGCTGTTGGTGTGAATGTGGGAAGAAAGGGACTCTCCTTCACTGCTGGTGGGAATGCCAACTGATCAGCCCTTTTGGAAAACAATATGGACGTTTCTCAAAAAACTAGAAATTGAGCTCCCATTTGACCCAGCAATACCACTTCTGGGAATATATCCCGGAGATGAAAAAAGTACAGTAGAAATGACATTTGCACTTGTATGTTTATTGCAGCACTATTTAGAATAGCCAGAATCTGGAAAAATACTGAGTGCCCAAGAACAGATGACTCATTAAAGAAACTTTGACCAGGAATTTTACTCCATGGCTTGGAGGCCAACCATACATGCTAGGGGAAAAGGGAGCTCAGATAGAGAAGGGAACACCAAATAAAGGGTGTTGGGAGGATCCTCCCAGGATAGGAGAAGCATACTGAAAGTAGACTATAGACCAAACATGATTGTCACCCATTGCCTCTTTTGCAAACCACAACACCCAATAAGAGAGAGAGAACAAAAGGGAATGCCCTGACACAGAGGCAGGGTGGGATGGGGGGATGGGGGGTGGGAGGGATACTGGGATCCGTGGTGGTGGGAAATGGGCACTGGTGGAGGGATGGGTATTTGATCATTGTATAATTGAAACCCAAGCACAAAAATTTGTAAGTCTACAACTGTACCTCATAATGTCTCACTAATAAATATTAAAAAAAAGAAACTTTGGTATGTCTACACAATGGAAGATTATGCAGCTGTTAGAAAAGATAAAAAACATGAAATTTGCATATAAATGGATGGAAATGGAGAGTATCATACTATGTGAAATGAATCAGAAAGAGAGGGACAGACATAGAATGACTGCAATCATTTGTGGAACATAAAGTAAGATAATAGGAGACTAACACCTAAGGATAGTAGAGATAAGGGCCAGAGGATCATGCCACAGCATAGAAGCCAGTCTCATATGCTGAGGGAAAAGGCAGCTGGGATAGAGAAGGAACCACTAAGTAAATGATGGAGGGAGGGATTGTTCACGATGGAAGATGAATGCTGAAAGTAGGCTATGGACCAAGCATGATGGCCGCTTAGTACTTGTACTGCAAACTATAACATCCAAAAGAGAGAGAGAGAGAGAGAGAGAGAGAGAGAGAGAGAGAGAGAGAGAGAGAGAGAGAGAGAGAGAGAGAGAGAGAATAAGAGGGAATGTGTCTGCCACAGAGGCAGGGGTTGGGAAGAGGTGGGAGTGGCAGGAGGAATATTGAGAACATTGGTGGTGGAGAATGGGCACTGGTAGAGGGATGGGTACTCGATCATTGTATGACTGAAACGTAATCATGGAAGTTTTTAAGTATGTAACTGTATCTCATGGTTATTCATTAAAACAATCAAACAAAATAATAATAATAAAAAGAAGGGTGCCTCCAGGCTGGAGAGAGTAAAGTGGGTAGGGTGCTTGCCTCCCACGTGGTTGACCTGAGGGCAAGCACCCTAATTCTCAGCACTCCATATGATCCCCTCAGCCCTGCCAGAAGTGATCCCTGAACAGAATCAGGAGTAAGCCCTGAATATCAACAGGTGTGGCCTTCCAAATAAACAAAGGTAGATACCTCCTCCATACCTTGGATATAAATGCTATGATTGCTACAATGGGTCTCTAGAAAGTTTTATATTTAAATTCATAATAGAAGTTATATTTTGAAGTCAGAAAAAGGAAAACTGAACTTAAACAATAGTAATATCATGAATAACCAGATAAAAACAACCCAATTAGAAATTTTGGCAACAGTAACTATTGTTTCTTTTTTCAGATCATAGTGATTTTTCACTTTGTTCTTTTTAGTACTAAATATAACAATCTAAAACTATAAATAAAAAGTCAATATCTCATTTAATAGAGAAACTATCCATATATAGATTTAAAAATTGTAATTCAACTTTTTTGCTTTTCTGTGTAATTTTTATTATAGTATATGCCTAAAAATAAAATCAAATAATGTAACTTTAACACTTACATAATTTTGTGCTTAAAAACTAGTTCATTATCTGCATCACCTATGATTAATGTAACATAGTGAGAATCTGGTGCTGTTCTTTTAGTTTGTAGCTGTTCAAAGTTTTTTAACACAATGGTCACTAATATTTCTGCTGTGGTTTCATTATATCTTGTAATCTTTAAAAACAAAAACAAAATAGACAAAAAATGTTACAAATAACCTTACAACTCAGATTTAGTTCCAAGACAGTCATGAATAATTTTACTCCTGAAAAGACAATCAAAATACCTTTAAGAAAAGTTAAATGCCTAAAAAAGAATCTTAAAAAGTTACCTGTTTTACTTCAAGCTCATATTTTGGAAGATACATCACAGTTTCTTTTATTTGTGTTCCAAAAGGCGGATGCCTATTTAAAATCTAAAAACATTTATATCATTAGATTCTTACTACAATTCTAAAACATCTTAGCAAAATATTTTAAAAGTCAATAATTTTAACAATCCTTTTAAGCCGAAACACTGATAAACTGAAATATGACAATGAAAAGGAAAATTACTTTTAGTGTAAATAAAAACAAACAACAGGTTTTAAAATTTAGGTAGAATTCAGGAAAAATTTGAAATAAGTAAACATTAAATACCAGTTCAAGTTCTCTTGCATTTTTTTCTTCTATTTTTTTAAAGGAAGTCAAACCTGCATTAACCATTGCATTTGATAATGATATACCTGTGGGAAATTAATTAAATAATGTTTTCTAAATAATCCATTTAAAACTAAATCCATACTTAAATATTTAACAAATACATCAATAAAATTATTAAGATTTAGACAATGAGTTTTAAGTTTTTTTCTCAAGTTTACAATTCAATTATTCTGGCTATGGCATCATTTAATTGTTTAACTTTTAATTTTTTCAAACCAAAATAAGACATACATTTACTTTATTTTAAAAAAGAGTAACTCTTTGGTCCACATGTTGTTTCAACCCTTAGCTTGACCATATATGATCCATAGGACAAGTATCAAGAGACCTAGTATTAATATTTGATAAAAAATGACAACCTTATTTAGGATAGGAATATTATTTCATGCATCTAAGGTTCTCTGAGCTATTTTAGAAACAGTTATCTCTATGATTCTGTACATAATTCAGATCATTCTATTCCTCTACCTAAAACTTCCAATGTCTTCCAGAAGCATTTAGAATAAAGTGGCAATTTCCTTACTATGGCCAAACCCCCTTAACTATGAAAGTTGAACACAGGCTACCTTTCTCAACTAATTTCCTACTCTTACTATTTTTGGGTCACACTTGCTTTAATTTTGTTCTTTCAATATATCAAAATTTAATTCCATTTTTTTCTGTTTACTTGTGTTTTAAGAAAATTTTTGGTTTGTTTTTGTTTTTTTAAAAAAATTTTATCGAATATCTGTGAGATATACCCTTACAAAGCTGTCCTTGACTGTATTTCAGTATTCCAACACCCATTCCTCCACCAGTGTACATTTCCTAGCAGCAGTGTCCTCAGGTTACCTCCCATCACCCCCCCACCCCCTGCCTGCCTTTATAAGAGACTGAAAGTTATGTTTATTATACTCTTAAGAATGAATTTATCCAAATCCCAAAATAAAAGATATTGTTAGAAGTATAAAACTCCAAAATATTACTACCTTATCTAAGACACACATATTATTAGTATTCCTTACTCAGAACTTTAACTATTCTTTAACTTTCAGGTATTTCTCTTACTTATTATTATGAAAAAATGTATTATACGCTTTGACATCAAAGTTATTCCAATAATATACGTGGAAGAAAACATAGGCATAACTGTCCAAGAGTCTGACCCCACTGGGAAAAAAATTTGCAGAAATAAAGAAAATAAAGAAATGAGGCTAAATCAAACTAAAAAGCTTATTCACTGTGCAGAAATGAATCTTAAAATAAAACCACCCTATTTCCTGAGAAAAATATTCACAAATTATTCATCAAAAGAATAATATCCAAGATATATAAAGCACTCTCAGAGTTTAACAATAGGGTTTCTTTTTTTTTTACAAAAAGCAATTGGGTCAACAGTTGCTTGCATGCAGCTGACCCAGGTTGATCCGTGACACCCCATCTGGCCTAATTCCCGCAAGGAGTGATCCTTGAGCACAGAGCCAGGAATAAGCCCTGAACAGAGCCAGGTATAGCTCCCTTTACCCTCTATCCCCAAAATAAAAAATCTCACAAAGCCAAAGGCACAAATTTTGAAACTTAAGAGTGCTTGAGTTTATCCCAGTCTTTGTAAATAGCACCTTCTAGAGTTTTCCCATTTATATCATAAGCCAGATTCCAATTTATGTCATGAGCCAGATAGGAAACAATCAGGTACAATAATTTGTCTATGTACTCTTTGTAACATCAGTACCAAAGTCCTATTGTTATTGAAAACAAGCAGTTAAGATACAGGTGTCAATAAGTGATTAAAGTATTAATAATGAACCAGAAATAAGCCAGAGGTATTAACTCTGTACCTTGTCATTGAGATTGAAACAAGAGTTATAAAAATGGAAGAGGGAGGGACTGGGGTAATTACTCAAAGGGCTTGCTTGAGTAATGATTTGCATCCAGCAGTTTTGGATCCTATCCCCCACACAGCATGGTACCCTGAACATCATCAGGGTAGCCTAACCTCCTCCATCAGAAAAAAGGTGAAAAATAGAGCAGCCACCACATAGCTATTGAAATTAAAATGAAATGTCATTTTCGGTTCAAAAATAAATTTTTAAATGAGGATATTCATTTTTTCTGGTTTTCCTAATTAATTACAAATGGAATAATCCTTTAAGCAGGAGCAAATGAAATCACAACTTCAGAGAAACATCATACCTTATTTAGTCCTACCTTAGTTTTTAAAGTTAAATATCTGTATCTATTTTAGTTTTGTTTTTTTTTTTTTGCTTGTTTGTTTGTTTTACGCTTTTTAGGTCACACCTGGAGATGCTCAGGGCTTACTCCTGGCCCTGCACTCAGTAATTACTCCTGGTGGTGCTTGGAGGACCCTTTAGGATGCTGGGAATTGAACCCGGGCTGGCCATGTGAAAGGCAAACACACGACCTGCTGTATTATTGCTTTGGCCCCAAAGCAGTTTTTAAAACACTTAAAAATAAAACAAATTACAGATATTGACAACGAACACATTTATTGTACCTACCAATTTTTTCCAGTTGTTTGGATACATGCTTAGAGTTTTCCCAAAGTTTACATCTAAAACATTTTGCTAATATCAAACTGTTTAATAGTATGATAAACTTCTTTTCTTGAGTAGCCATAAATTCTGATAGCCCTAAAAAAATTTCCAATGTTAATTCAGTATACTAGTTGACTGGAAAAATACTGAAAATTGATTAGTATTAATACATTACATCTTGTAATTCGAGAACCATTTCTGAAAATCTTTGAGGTATCTTGTGTCAAAGCGAAGTCTTGTATAGGAATGCATCCTAGCTGAGCCTGAATGAGACTAATGAAAAGAACACATTTCATTACTTCCTTTAAAATTATTACACAAGCACTATTCACCATAGCCAGAACCTGGAAACATCCTGAATGTCCAAGAGCAGATGAATGGAACAAAAAAAACAATGACAAATCTACACAATGGAATACTATGCAGCTGTCAGGAAAAATGAAGTCATGAAATTTGCCTATAAGTGGATGGATGTGGAGAGAATCTTGCTGAGTAAAATGAGTCAGACGGAGAGGGACAGACACAGAATGACTGCATTCATTTGTGGTATATAAAAAAATATATAGTAAAGGCTAATATCCATGGCCAGGGAAGACAGGGATTAGGAAGACTGGTCAATGGCTAGAACTAACCACAAGTGTGTGTGGGACTGAGGGTAGGTAAGATAGAGAAGAGACCAGTATGACAATAATAGCTGGGAATGATCACACTGGGCAAGATCTGAGAGTTAAAAGTAAGTAAAGGGATATTCTTGATAATCTTTCAATATCAATATTGCAAACTACAATGCCCAAAAGGAGAGGGAGGGAGGGAGAGAGAGAGAGAGAGAAAGAGAGAGGGAGGGAGAGAGGAAGGGAAGGAACAAGAGTATCAGTATCAATACTGCAAACCACAATGCCCAAAAGGAGAGGGAGAGGAAGAGAGACAGAGAGACAGAGAGAGAGAAGGAGAGAGAGGGAGAAAGGGAGAGAGAGAGAGAGAGAGAGAGAGAGAGAGAGAGAAGAAAAGCACCTGCCATAGAGGCAGGCAGGGAGTGGGGGGTGGGAGGTGGAGGGTGATGGGAGGGAACCTGGGGACACTGTGTTGGGAAATGTACACTGGTAGAGGGATGGGTGTTGGAATACTGTATGACTGAAATTCAATCATGAACAGCTTTGCAAGGGTCTATCTCACAGTGATTCAATAAAAATGCAAAAAATAAAAATTAAAGCACAATAGTTAACTTAATTATCTCATTTTGAAATTCTTCTGTCTTGATTTGTGTAACACATGATCATATCAAAAAACATCTAAAATTATCAATCTGTCCTCCAATACAGTTCTGTCTTCTTATCTTTGCAAGATATAGAAAATAGAACAATGCATGCATTGTAACACTGTCCTCCCATTGTTCATCAATTTGCTCAAGCGGGCCCAGTAACATTTCCATTGTGAGACTTCTTGTTACTGTGTTTGGCATATTGAATACGTCATGGGGCGCTTGCCAGGCTTTACCGTGCGGGCGAGATACTCTCAGTAGCTTGCTGGACTCTCCGAGAGGGGTCGGCTGGGCCGAAGGCCCTACCCGGTGTGATATCACTCCAGCCCAGCACAATGTATATAATCAACAAATATCTTAAGTGCCAACTGAATAACAGGTATAGTGGCTAGATGCTGAAGCATCTGTTCTGTCTATTAGCTGATTGTTAGAAATGAGCAGTTTCCTGGCTACAGAACTTAAGTGATTAAAGGAAAAGGATATACCATCTATTCTGTCTTGAGCTAGGGCTGGAGCGATAGCACAGCGGGTAGGGCTTCTGCCTTGCATGTGGCCGACCCAGGTTCGATTCCTCCGCCCCACTTGGAGAGCCCGGCAAGCTACCGAGAGTATTTCGCCCGCACAGCAAAGCCTGGCAGGCTACCCGTGATGTATTCAATATGCCCAAAACAGTAACATTACTGATGCCTGCTTGAGCAAATCGATGAACAACGGGAGGACAGTGACAGTGACAGTGGAAAAGAGCTTTATTGGCAACAAGGCACCAGGTTCGAAGATGGCAAACTTATGCCCAAATCAACTATTTCTACTGTGCACTCTGTAACATAGATTCCTTGTTCTCTGCTTTTGTTTTTAAGCAACTGTTGTTGGTTTTGTTTTTTTTTGTTTTATTTTTTATTTGGGGGCCACACCCAAGATGCTTAGGCTTACTCATGACACAACACACAGGAATTACTCCTGGTTATGCTCAGTGGTCCATATAGGATGTCAGGGATCAAACATAGGTCAGGCTCGTGCAAGGCAAATGCCCTAACTGCTGTACTATTATTATGGTTCCAGTTAGCTGCCTGTTTTGACTGTTAAAATAACTAGCCATCGTTGACATGAAAATAACTCTGGATCTAACTAAAATGATCAAACTTATATTATATTTTTGGGGGAAGAGTGGTCTCATGACAAGATCAAAACACATCAGCTGTGCAAAGGGCAAGTAGGAAGAATAATTCTACAATCATGGCTTAGTTTTAGTAGAAGATATGTGAAAATACAAAGAAAGAACAAACCCCATTTTCAGAACGTGTACCTTCAGTTGACAGACTATTTTCTTTAGCTATGGTATAATTCTAAGTTATTTTATATCATATATTAGGAAACAGAAAGTTACAAGATTTGGTTACAAAGAAGAACCTGAAGGAAAAATGTGAATAGTGTTCTTTCTTCCACACAGAAGAAAAACAGGACTTTTGAAAAATCGTGGAATGCATAAATTGCTGGAGTAAATGTAAGATTTTTGAAATACTATTTAAACAAGAATGAAAGGCAGAACAGGAATTTATTCTAGTTAGAGCCTTGTTAGGGCTATTTCACTCCCATCCAGGCTTGTCCTCTGTAGAAACATTAAGTCTCTCAGTTGAAGTGACATGGCACTTCTGGTACTTGAACTAACGGGAATAGAATTGTGTGGTAGTTATAGGATGACTAAATTAAGATTATTGAAAGGATCAAGTGAGATGTGGTATTGAATTAGTTTGAAGTAGACTCAACTATGACCAATTTACAAGATTCATTAAATTGCTTATTCTCTGGTGTAAAAAGATACCCACCTAGGTAATCCTAAACTTAGTCCTGTGATCCTTCAAATGACCAGGGACCAATATTTCTGCTCTTTACCATGTGTAGCTTGGGCTGGAGCGACAGCACAGTGGTAGGACGCTTGCCTTGCATGCGGCTAGTGTGGCTGACCTGTGTTCTATTCCTCCGCCCCTTTCGGAGAGCACGGCAAGCTACTGAGAGTATCTTGCCTGCTCGGCAAAGCCTGGCAAGCTACCCGTGACATATTCGATAAGCCAAACACAGTAACAACAAATCTCACGATGGAGATGTTACTGGACCCGCTAGAGCAAATTGGTGAGCAATTGGAGGACAGTGCTACAGTGCTACAGTGCATCATGTTTAGCTTATATCTTCAAAGTATCTTACAGTCTAAGAAGGTTGGTTGGTACTAGCGATTGTATATTTACTCCATAAATGACATAGGAGGAAAGGAAAGAATAAGGGGTAAAGAAATAATGTCCTGTTTACAACCTGACTCCACTTCCTTTTAGCAACATTCTAGGAAGATGAATTTCACACTTTTACCTATATCTCATTAACTAGAAATATCTTAGTTGTAGGGCCACATCAAACTACAAAGTTGGTTGAGAAATGTTATCTTTTTCCTGTGTAGTTAAGAATATGGATTAATGGGGCCAATGATATAGCTCTGGTAGAGTAGTAGAGTTCCTTCCATGTTTGAGGACCTCGATTTGTGTCCCAACAACATTAACACCTCTGGGTTGCACCACCTAGCATAGCCAACACACTAAAAAGGGTAATATTAATAAATAAGGTAACTAACAATTTAGAAAACAGAGAACAGCAAGATAAAATCAGTTTTAAAATACATAAAATTGATTTTTATAAGCAATATTTTCAGATCATAAAAATACACATTTTAGAAAGTTGGAGATCTGGTGAAATTTAAAAATTATTCCAGAATAAAACTGTAGATATAGCTGAAGAGTAAATTAAGATCAATGACACTGATCTAAGTCATTCTCCAAACATATATTCTTCACAAGAACAAAGATATTTTGAAATATGAGAGAGTACAAAATGTGAAGTTCCAGTGTTCTTCTAGTAAGAGTTTTACATAGTGTAAATTGAGAGAATAATTTAAATAATTAATTTAAATCATTAAAGTGGATTTGTAGAAGAAAATTTCCAGAATTGAGAAAGGTACAAGTCTTCATATTAATATATTCCCCAGATTGAGGTACAAAATACATTCCCCACATCTTCACTATAAAATCTCTTAACACAGAAACAGAAAAATAATTTTAAATTCCAAGGAAGAAGAAAAAGAGCATTAGGGCCAGAAAGAAAATACAGTAGATAAGGTGCCTGCCCTGTATGTGACTGACTCAGGTTTGGTTCCTAGTACCACATATGGATTCCAGAGTACCATCAAGAATGACCACTGAGGGGCCAGAGCAATAGCATAGCGGGTAGGGCGTTTGCCTTGCACACAGCCAACCTGGGTTCGATCCCCAGCATCCCATATAGTCCCCCAAGCACTGCCAGGAGTAATTTCTAAGTGTAGAGCCAGAAATAACCCCTGAGCATCGCTGGGTGTGACCCAAAAAGAGAAGAAAAAAAAAGAATGACTACTGATCACAGAGCCAGGATTAAACCCTGAGCACTTCTGTTATGTCCTCCCTTGACCCCCCACATACAGGTGATTATTAGCAAAAGACTGAAAAAAAAAAAAAAGAAAAAGCAGATTACTAAAAATGTAAAGAACAGTATCAAACAAAGTTCTGGTGAATGACTTAGCCAACTTTTAGTCAAATACATTTCTTTGCTGCAAAGATGACAGATTTAAAGACTCATGAAGTCACTTAATCACTTAACTTCCCGTTAATCGTCGATTTGCTCGAGCAGGCGCCAGTAAAGTCTCCATTTGTCCCTGTGGTGTGCTAGTGTGGCACAATGGCATCTGTTCACTCTAGGAACATTAAGAGCCTCAAACCGATCATTCATGATCTTGATGAAGAAGTCTGACCATCTGGTAGGTGGCCGGCCACGCGGTCTTTTGACATCCCGTGGAATCCAGTCTGTAACAGCTCTAGTCCAGCGGTCATCTTGAAATCTCATTACGTGACCAGCCCATCTGATTTTTGACACCTTGGCAAACGAGACAGCATCCCTGAGTCTTGATCGTCGACGGAGGTTGGAACTCCAGATTCTTTCTCTC